AACTCTAGCTATTTGGATTTTTTAAAAGAAGATTTTTTAAGTTTTTGCTATACACATATAAGGAAAATCAATGACCCCCCGGGGCAGTGCCAATTTTGACCCCAGGGCTTTTATTTGAACAAACTTGGTAGACAACTATTAGAACATGTTTGATGCTCAGTATCTTAGCCATAGCTCTTTGAGTTCTTTAAAAGAAGATTTTTTAAGTTTTTACTATATGCATATAGGGAAAATCAATGACCCCCCGGGGCGGGGCCAATTTTGACCCCAGGGCTTTTATTTGAACAAACTTGGTAGACACTCACTAGAAGATGTTTCATGCCAAATATCTAAGCTCTAGCTCTTTGAGTTCTTTAAAAGAAGATTTTTTAAGTTTTTACAATATGCATATAGGAAAATCAATGACCCCCCGGGGCGGGGCCAATTTTGACCCCAGGGCTTTTATTTGAACAAACTTGGTAAACACCCATTAGAACATGTTTCATGCTAAATATCTTAGCTCTAGCTCTTTGGGTTCTTTAAAAGAAGATTTTTTAAGTTTTTACTATATGCATATAGGGAAAATCAATGACCCCCCGGGGCGGGGCCAATTTTGACCCCAGGGCTTTAATTTGAACAAACTTGATAGACACTCACTAGAAGATGTTTCATGCCAAATATCTAAGCTCTAGCTCTTTGAGTTCTTTAAAAGAAGATTTTTTAAGTTTTTACTATAATGCATATAGGGAAAATCAATGACCCCCCGGGGCGGGGCCAATTTTCACCCCAGGGCTTTTATTTGAACAAACTTGGTAGACACCCATTAGAACATGTTTCATGCTAAATATCTTAGCTCTTTGGGTTCTTTAAAAGAAGATTTTTTAAGTTTTTACTATATGCATATAGGGAAAATCAATGACCCCCCAGGACGGGGCCAATTTTGACCCCAGGGCTTTTATTTGAACAAACTTGGTAGACACTCACTAGAAGAATGATGTTTCATGCCAAATATCTAAGCTCTAGCTCTTATGGTTTTTTAAAAGAAGATATTTAAAGTTTTTTCTTTCGGTTGCCATGGCAACCAGAGTTCTGCATGGAATTAAATTCTTTGAACAATTTTTAAAGGTGACCACCAAAGGAACATTCCTGTGAAGTTTGGATGAAATTGGCTTAGTGGTTTATGAGGAGATGTCATTTAAAGTAAAAGTTTACGGACGGACGGACGACGGACGCCGGACGAAAAGCGATCACAAAAGCTCACCCTGTCACTTTGTGACAGGTGAGCTAAAAACTGACGGACAGCCGGACGGCCGGACAAGCTGATTCCAGTATACCCCCCTTACAACTTTGTTGTGTGGGGGTATAATTATCATAGCTGTGGTTGATAAAATGTACAACAAAATTTTAAATGATGATAAGTTACTTACAGAATCAGGCACGGGAACCAATCCTGTATTTTCATCCACCCCTAACAGCAACACCACCTCAGCCAAAGCATTAGGCACACTAAACTTATTCATTCTTCCAACAATTACAGCTTTAACATACAAGTTATCACAAATTTATGCCATGATGATTTGTAATATAAATTTCCTAGATTCTGGTAGCAGGTGCTTGTGATTTGTTCAGCATGTGTCTATTTCTTTGCTACTTCAAACAATTAATTACTTCTACATGTTCTCACAATATTCTCTATAATGTTGGACCCATGTTGCTAAGATATGTATGAAAGCACTCTTTGTTCTTTCACAAGTACTCCAAATAATCTGAAAAAATACAAGTTTCACAAGATAATGAAAAACTTTTAAAAAAATTGCCAATTGGCATTATTTGAATAATCTAAAGTAATACAAGTTTCACAAGATAATGAATAACTTTTAAAAAAAAATTGGCAATTGGCATTATTTAAATAATCTAAAATAATACAAATTTCAAAAAATATAATCTTTTGTAAATTGGCATTATTCAAATAATCTGAAATAATACAAGTTTCCCAAGATGATACATATTGTTACCTTAGGGCTGTAACGGGTTACCTCTTTATATAATTAAATAGGAATTAACGTGTTACAGAACTAAGGTGATGATATCTGATTGTAATAGACATTTACATATAATGTAGTTATTTCCATATCTTAAATCACATAGTTATGAGCAGATTTGTATTAAGACTTTCAACAGACATCAAAATCATTTTACATATTAGCAATTTGTATTCATGACAAAAGTATAAATAACTGAAACATATAACTATGAAAAATCATATGATATTATAACTTATTAATGCATTGTCACATTGTTGTAGAATATTTCTTGTAAGATTTTATAAGTACCATATTAATTCTTTTAAGTCACATCGTCACATTGTTGCAGTATATTTCTAGTAAGATTTGATAAGTACCATAATACCATTAATTCTTTTAACACACTCTTTGCTTTTTTCATTCTTTTTTTTGATTTGTTATATTGTTCAGGTTACAAAGCAACTTTCTAGCTACATTAATATTATTATTATTATTATTTGTTGTAGGCAAATTTTTGTGCTTCTGGGAAATGAGTAAAAATGCCAGCTATATGTGACACAATTTTTTGTTCTATGTTCCTTGTTCAGCACATTGCCCCATTACCAAGTAGTATTTCAGCCAAGTAGTTCCTTCTTTCTGTTCACACATGAAAATTGTTAACTGATTGACAGACTGACAACAAGGTGCATAACATACATGTATTATACTTCAATTTTTTTCCATATCATTTTTTTTTATCATAATAACACAATAACTTGAACTGGTGACTGGAGTACATCAAGATACTACTAGTAAGTGTAGCACTAACTTGTCATGCCAGATGACCTATGTCCAGTAATCACATTATTGTAGACTGATAATTGAGGAAGCTAAAAGAATCTAAACTCTGGTGGAATTGATATGATAATTGATAATTTAATTCCCAATGTCACATTGGCAACATCTTAATGAGCTTATTATAAAGAGTATGGTATTGAAATAGGTTAAATAGCCAAAGTTAATTTATGTCAAGTCATGGTCTCACATTTTTTTCATAATCATAAATATTTTAGGACTCCCAGTCTTAATATTTCTTAATAATAAAAAGATTATTCTGTTATACATTATAAATTGCTGTTTGACGTAATTTTATACATACCATTAAGCAAATGAAGACAACAATAATATCAACGACCCGAAACCGGAAAATATTAATTAGAAATTTGCTAAAAAGTGACAATGTACAGAATCTGATGTAAATTTAACACGGATGCGTTTTTATTTCATTGAGTGACATGCAATAAGATAGATATAAAATGTCTACCTGTTTCACAGATAAAACAAAAACACTAAAACATCCACGTTTATAATGTTCACAGATGGACACCCACTTCTTGACCTGATGATAAGATCCTATAAATAATCATCATCTCATGCCCATCTCTACTTTCGTTTTCGATTTTAATATTTGGGATAAGTTATTAAAATTCTGCTATTCACACCTCTTCGAGTCTTATAAGAAAATTTTAAAATTGTAAACTAAAACTAATTTCATATCATATAAACTGAAAATGCATTTCAATATAAATAACTACAGATAAGTGTAAAATAAAATCACAAAAATAAAAAACGCTCCCTGATTGCAACTTTTAACTTCCGGTTCCGCCACGCGAAACGAAAATGGGAAAAGTTAAAAAAGCAAAAATGACCCGACCTGGTGGGCTTTCTCTTGCAGATCAGGTATTGGATGACAACAATGTAAAACAATCTAGCAGAACAAAGATCAGAAGAAAGGAAGAAAAAGATGACGAGGTATCATCATCAAATATATCTGAATTTTATGTGTTTTCGCGATGTATGTGACTATCAGTAGGACTGTAGGTCTAAGAAAGTCGTGTTTTCACAAACTAGAATAAGGCAATTTTATCCTCAAAATCAGTTTTTGACACAATTTACAATGCGTAACACTATATGTTTTTTGTGCCCCCACGTTAGTGGCGGGCATTTAGATTTACCCTTGTCCGTCCGTCCGCACTAACAAAGTTCTATGCTCCTGCATTTATGAATAAATTATGCAAATGAGCCACGTTGAGCCGCCATGTTGGAGTTTCGGTAAGCGTGTTGGAAATTGCTACCTGTTCGTTTTGAAAGCTCGTCCTAACTTACAGTTTCCTTGAATGTAGGAAAACTTGGTTTTGTTTGATTGCATACTGAATGATAGGTATTACAAAATAAATATAATGAAAATCGATCAATCAATTATTGTATACGAGCGTTATAAAGTCAATTTAATTCGTCAGAATAGTAAGATTCTGTTGCAGGGTACAGGGCTCCAGATAAGATGCGTATACGCGTAAATTACGCATGGAAATAACACGTTTACGCATTCAAAACAAAATTTAAGCGTATGAAAACGCACACAAAATTCAGGTTACGCATTGAGCAACATTTCTTTCGCGTAAACGTAATCGAAAGTAAACTCGGCGATTATCTTACTGAACGCTTTGCAAGCGTCTACCGGTAACTTCCTGTAGTTCCGACCATCATCGGTTGTTATCGTATGTATAGTATGGTGGTGGAATTAACTTCGTATGAATGCTTTGCAACGTCTAACGGTAACTTCCTGTAGTTCCGACTATCATCGGATGTTATCGTATGTATAGTAAGGTGGTGGAATTAACGCAATTTCATAAACATCCGGTACAATGTCGCTGTCAAAAGTTAAAACGATTGACTCATATTTCCGGCCGAAAAAAATCGGCAAAGGTTTTAATTAATGAAATAATTAGCGCTGCCCCGTATGAGCAACAGTCAGATAAAACGCGTTTGGAAATGCAAGATTATAAACCAAGGGAGTCCAAAAAGCAAAAGAAATGACTTTGACATATCTTGTATTACAAGTATGATAATGCAATAAACATGGAAGCATAATAAATGTTTTACTCTTTTACATACATTTAAAGGAGTAAAAATACTCCTGTCAAATTTCAGATAAAATTTCAAGTTTTACTCATTCACAAAAAAATCAATGAGTAAATACTCATTGCCCTAAAAAATTATCTGGAGCCCTGAGGGTATCGGTAAAAGACTGCTTTTTTTCCCGTTTTTGAAATTTATTTGAACACGGAGACAATTTTTCTCAAACAGGTTTATGAATATACTTTACGTTGCAACAGAGTTTACCGTGTGTCCATTCCTTATTTAAATTGTCTAAGAAGTTAAATCTGTTTGTTTACATGTAAATGTGTACCGTCATTTTGACCGACTGGAATAAAAACTATTATGACGGTGATAATACCGGATATGTAATGAAAATTACGCCGTGTAGTGCAAAGTTTTCGACATTGCAATTAAAATTAACGCTTACGTTGATTCAAACTGTTCCTTGTCAGCAAAATTGAAACCGAAAGTAGTGGTTGTTCTAGAATTTAATCGAATAAAATGGGTGGGATTTAACCACCGTGCATGCCCTGTGCGAACGTATTGTTTACATCAGGTCGTAGCATAGGGTAAGAGTGCAAACTTTGTTAGTGGTCCGTCCGTCCTTCCGTCCGTTCACTTTTGTGTCGCATGTAACTCAAAAAGTATTTGACCTAGAGTCATGAAACATTACAGGAATGTTGATCAGCATGTGTAGTTGTGCACCTGGGTATTTTGGTCTGGATATTTTTAGTATTTTCAGAGTTATTGCCCTTGACTTAGTAAAATTTTGCAATTTTCAACTTGTGTCGCATGTAACTCAAAAAGTATTTGACCTACAGTCATGAAACTTTACAGGAATGTTGATCAGCATGTGTAGTTGTGCACTGGGTATTTTCGTCTGGATATTATTAGTATTTTCTGAGTTATTGCCCTTTCCGAGTTATTGCCCTTGACTTAGTAAAATTTTGCAATTTTCAACTTGTGTCGCATGTAACTCAAAAAGTATTTGACCTAGAGTCATGAAACTTTACAGGAATGTTGAGTAGCATGTGTAGTTGTGCACCTGGGTATTTTCGTGTGCATATTTTTAGTATTTTTAGAGTTATTGCCCTTGACTTAGTAAAATTTTGCAATTTTCAACTTGTGTCGCATGTAACTCAAAAAGTATTTGACCTAGAGTCATGAAACTTTACAGGAATGTTGATCAGCATGTGTAGTTGTGCACCTGGTATTTTCGTTTGGATATTTTTAGTATTTTCAGAGTTATTGCCCTTGACTTAGTAAAATTTGGCAATTTTCAACATGTGTCGCACATAACTCAAAAGTATTTGACCTAGAGTCATGTTACTTTACAGGAATATTGATCAGCATGTGTAGTTGTGCACCAGGTATTTTCATCTGGATTTATTTAGTATTTTTAGAGTTATTGCCCTTCACTTAGAAATTTTTTGCAATTTTCAACTTGTGTCGCAAGTTTCTCAAAAAGGATTTGACATAGTCAATAAACCTTATGGGCAGGTTGCTCAGCATATTTTAGATTTGCACCTGGGGTTTCGCTTGTGGATTTATCCAGTATTTGTAGAGTTATTTCCCTTGACTTAGTAAAAAGATTGACAGAACAGTGTCGCGGTGGGGGCACCTGTGTCCTATTGACACATTTCTAGTTTATATTTAATTTATTGGCATTGCACAAATTATTTTTCGCTTAGTAATAAACAAAGTTTTGCACTTGATGACAATACACCGATTGGCAGTTTCCAAATTAGCAGACAACAGGCCATTCTTAATATGAAATTAGGTGCTACCTATGGCGCGGAAAGTTCTTATGAATTATGGTTTTGTCATAACATGTATGATGTTAAGTGTAGTTGTAAACCATATTTTTCTTTGTAAACAAAAGGAATAAATTGGTAGTGTTCAACCTATCATCCGAGCGCTCAGAAAATCTCCAAACGTAAAGAGGGACCACGGCGCATGCGTCGGCGTTTGGAAAATCCCGTCCACCATTTTTGTTAAACTCTGATCACAAACGTTATTTTTTAATGTGCTATTTTATCAAAAAGGATATTTATAATTATAATCATTACAATATAATTATAGTTCTTATCAATGAAATACATGTTTATTTTCTGATTTTATGGACATGGTAATGTGTGACAAATCTTAATCTGTTTTGTTTTTTTAGTTTAATCTGTTCTTACGTTAATGCCAGTAATAATAAATCCATATTACTTTCAGTATGTAGATGATAAACTGTCAAAAAAGATTTTGGATCAAGCAAGAAAACAGCAAGAAGAGTTAGAAGAGGAACATGGGGCAACCAGGTACATATAATATTGTAATGAATAATATTGGGATACAAGCAGAGCAACAGATAAGCTTTTAAAGTGAATTGGGTATTACTCCATCATTTCCTTTGGAATTGGGTATTGGCTCCATTTAATAGGGTATTCCAAAACTCAATACCCTATGATTTCAAGATCAATTGGGTATTCAATTATGAAGATATGAATTTAATGGTTTCAATATCAATAAAATTTAAACTGTTTTAAAAAAAAAATAGGATTAATTTAACAATTTACTAGAACTTTTCACAATTGTTTTATTTTTTATATAAAATGCTCATGTTATTTTTCATAATATTTTTAACAAGTTCGTTTTCTGACTGATTTTTTATTATTTATTACTGCTTTGTTTCAAATCATTTTCCCTTTTGTATGACGCCATAATGCTTTCAAAGCGTCTATTGATACAGCTGGGACCTACTTATTGACGGTCTCCGCAAAATCAACGGTCTCTGCCAGACCGTCGGCCTGAGTAGACAAATCGACGGTCTCATGTTTTATTGATAAGGCTAAGTCGGTCTTTGGAGACCGGGGACCGTCGAAGACCGCAGACCGTTGATTAGTTAGCATTAATTCGGGAATATTCGGATAGCATGCATATCGATATAATTTGTCCAAAACTACGAGCATACGACAGATTAATTTTGCGGTGATGAAAATGACAATACGCACAGGTTTTTAAGACAATTGCGTATTTTTTTTTTTTTTAATGGGTTTTGATACGCATTCTTTAAAAATCAATTTTGTATTGTATAAAATTAATTGCGTAAATACGCAAATACGCACCTTATCTGTTGCTCTGACAAGTTTCAACTAAAATTTCATACCAAAAAAAAAAATCTTGAATATATACTAAATGTATTTATTATATACTTATAAATGAAATATTGAGAAATATTGATGAAATAAAATGCGTATGTTCATTTTCCGTATTTTCACTGTAAAAATTTATTTTTCACTGCAGTGAAACATATTTTCCGTATTTTCACTGGTGTCTTGCCGGACTACTTTCTTTTAAATTTTGCAAGTACACAAAATTTAAGGGAAAGTCTTTCAAATTTTAATGTCAAAAAAGATAAAAATGTATATAATAAACAGAAAATTCAAGTTTTTTCTATAAATACATGATTTATTTTCATCTTGTGGCATGAAAATTACCATATTTCACTCGTGGCTACCGCCACTCATGAAATATTTATTTTCATACCACTCGATGAAAATAAATCATGTATTTATAGAAAAAACTTGAATATCCTCTATGTGTGACAATTTATTACTTATTACCTGGCAGTCTGATGAAATTGCAAAGATCCTTTCAGAAGCAAAATTTCCTTTGAACTTGAAATGAAATTTAAAGAAATTTAAAATGAAATTTTTTAAAAAATTATAGTTAAATTCAATTTCTGCTGTTCTGAAAAAAGGTAGATCTATGTTAACTTAAGCTTAGTAAAGAATCTGTTACATTTTCTTTTGAAGATTAATTATCAGGTACACTTTTATGCAGATCCTTTCTTTAAAATATTATTTATTATAATTTACCAAATGTGTAACATTCCTGAAGTTAATGATATGATTAGAATAATAATGATACTTCTACTTTTGATCAATTATACATTCTAATACATTGATATAAAATTTTCAGCAGCATTGCAGCAAAGAAGCCTCAACAAATTCAGTTGGGCAGGGCTAGACTGAAGGGGGCGGAGTCTGATGAGGAGGAATCTGATGAGGAGGAGGAGCATGAAGAATTTTATGAACAGATTGTAAGAATTGAAATGAGAATTTATATTTTGGAACTGTTTTTACAGTATTTATTTAAGTTTAATTGTGAAGGAAGCTGTAAGCTTATAGACACACTTTCAAATCCATTTTTGGAATCAACCCGTCCTGAGCTACAAGTGTAAAGTTTCTTGCTCAAGGAAACAACTTGCCCCTGAAGGGTTTGAACCCATTAAATGAATTGTTGAATCAGGCCAAGCTTTTATAAGCAATGATTTGATGAGCGAGAGTTTTTGCAATCATAGTGAAAAGTTTGGGTTCTATGATATGCTTTGCTACTTGAAATTGAGGGAAAAGCTATCCTGCATGTTAAGAAAATTGATGTGTGGTATTCTACAAATAATATATTTCTGACGAAATAATTAAAGTAATGGAGCTGAGCTTTGAGAGCCTCGGAGCATTAATCAGATGGCCTGCAAACAAACCATGTTTTTAATGTGGTATCCATTGTGTGTTACAGGCAGACTTGAATGTAAGTTAAATGCTGTGCAGTCTTAAGTAATGTTGCAATGAAACAAATTTTAAACCAAACCTGTGACAAGTTATTTTAAGATATATATATCAAGGGTTGACTGCAAAACTGCAGTTATTTATATTAAATAAAGAAGAACTTAAAAACAGTTTTGCACTTGACCCTCAATATATTAATATGTGACTAGATACAAGTAATTATAAGTTGAATGTTTTTTGTAGTAAAACCTCAATGTTTTGTTTTGTTATATATTTACCAGGAAGTAAATGATGAAGATGAAGAAGCCCTGGCAAAGTTCATGTCCCATAATCCTCCAGCTAGACGCACACTGGCCGATATCATACAGGAAAAACTTACAGAGAAGAAAACAGAAATTCAGAGCCAAATGACAGGTGAATAAAATAACGCTAATATGTTAAGTTTGGAAAGAAAAAAAAAAGAAATAGAGACAATATGATAGATATATTCAGTCCAATAATTTTAACTTTAAAAATGTGATTTTGTATGACAGAAAGATCTTGGTTTCACTTATAAGATTTAAAAGCTGAACAGATCTTTATATTTCCAAGACATCTAAAAGTTATAAAAAAAAGTTTATGTGACTTATAAATGTTTTTGTGAGAAACCCATTCATGTGATTTGTATTAAATATCATTATTTTGTTCCATGTAGGTTCTACATGTGTCTTATATTTATGCCTTATATGTACATGTAAGGCAAAACGTTTCCACCCACCAAGAATATCAGAAAAAGAAATGACCATATGAAACCCCAAACTGCATCATTTATGTCTCCGCTACATAGGGGTGTGGTATATATATTTGCCTTTTCCCCTCAGTTCTGCTGTCCATCCATAAACTGACAAACTGTGGAATGTGGGGACATTTGTGCCCTTAAGACACAATCCTGTTCAATTTTGTATCTTAGCTTTTTGGTCAGACAAATGAAAATATGTTATTCATTTGCAGGTGCTCTTTATCATTAGATATAATTAAAACTACATAAACTATATTTTAGATAATGCCAGTGTACAGTTAGATCAGCTGGATGAAAGATTGGTCAATATGTACAAAAGTATCAGGCAGATTCTACAGAGATATCGTAGTGGAAAGTTACCCAAAGCTTTCAAAGTTATACCTTCCCTTAGAAACTGGGAACAGGTAAGTTTGGTACCATTTATTATGCAAATAGGTTTTACCATAGGTGATTTTGAGTAGTGGTAGTAATATATTTTAAATTGTGGCAATAGTCAGAGATGATAAACCATTCTTGATTGGTAAATTTGATTTATTAACAGACATACGAGTTTACCCATTGGATTTTTACATTTGTCATTTGGGATGCTAATGGCCCCATTGGGTTAATCCAATTCATGCTTATGTATATTTGTTTGTTTGTTTGATTGAGTTTTATGTCACACCGCCACAGTATAAGTCATATGGGGATGTTCCATCTTTTATGTCTTCTGTGCATTATTTCAGACACAAACAGGCACCTGAGTAGAACAATCATGTTTATGCATAGAGACAATCAATTATAAAACAGACTTAATTGTAACAAGAGCTGTATGCATAGGACAATTTATTAGTATCAAAGACTGTGAATTGTATGCATGTTTCTGAAGATTTCCATCTAGCTTACAAAATGTTAGTGGTTCTACTTAGGTTCCTGCTCATGACTTAAATAATGCACAGAGGAGCACCTGAAGTCTTCCTCCACAGTAATTTTGGAATTTACTAGCCTATAATTTTTACATTATTGATGTGATGTAAACCAAACAAAAAATAACAAAAAAATACAGTAGTATTCACTTTGTTCAAAATTTCAATGGGGGGGGGGGGGTGTTCAAAAAGTTTTTTGTCATCTTAATTATGTTAAATCAAAACTGTAGCTGAAAAACAAGATATTTGCAATTTTATGCTTGTTCATGATAACTATAAAATTTTAAAGACATTGGTTTTCATAAATGTTAGTGGATATTGATTTAATGTGAATAAATCCAATTCTACAGTAAAGTCATTGTATATTTTAGATATTATATCTAACAGAGCCAGAGACATGGTCTGCAGCAGCTATGTACCAGGCAACCAGAATATTTACTTCTAATCTAAATGCCAAAATGGCTCAAAGGTAAGAGTAAACAATAAGTGTATAGTAGGGCTGTCATTGATAAAAAAAATTTGCATCAATATATCGATGATAAATCGAACTGAAGAGCTTGAGCATTTGAATAAATGTGATAACTTCTTATCATGGTGTATGTATAGAATACTAAAAGAAAGTATGTTTTCTTGTTATCATGATTTATAGAATTTTAAAAAATGAATGATCCAGTATGCAAGCTAGGTAAGAAAAAATGAGAAAAGTGACTTTTTCCCGTTACGCAAAGTAGAGAGATATTTTTCACAGGACATGAAGAAACGAGTATGAAATTGTATGGATATTCAATATTGTATTTTTTGTTGAATATCGATGATATTATATCAGTATTGCAATTTTAAATGACAGCCCTAGTTTATAACAAGTTTAATAATTTACGTCAGATGTATCACATACAAAATTCACTGTTTTAGGTTAAACAATCTTTAGTGTTCAGACTTTCTGCTTATTGATCATGGCTTTGTGACTATCTTTGTACTTTAAAGATTTTCTACTGCAGACTCTTAAATAAAGATAATATTTGATTAATTTATGAGCTTATGACAGTTTATTCAGCTTAAAGGAAAAGGGGCATAATTCTGAAAGCGATATTTTTGGAGTTATGCCCCTTTTCAGCTTTACTTAGTATTTTTAATGGACAAGCGTTAACACTGTTTTAGTCAAATATAACATTAAATATGATAGAATTTCCCATCTTGGTCTGCTTTGGTCACATGACTAGATTCAATTTCCACCAGCAAGCTTAGGGTTTATGTTCTTGTTTTCATTTATTTATTTTTTTTACTTTTCAGATTTTTTAACTTGGTTTTGTTACCTAGGATAAGGGATGACATATCTGAGTACAAGAGATTAAACTTTCATTTATACCAGGTATTTATTCTGAAATATACATTTTTTAATGTGGCCAATCAGCTGGTTATTTTTCTGTTTGCTTCTCAACCTACAAATTTTCCTTTTCTGTCAAACCCCTCGTGTGGATGTAGACATAGAGATTGTGTGTTCTAATCCCAGGGCTGGTTTGTTTGACCCTCGGTTGGGGCGAAATTTCTACGCGACAATTTTATGTCGAGCATTAAGTCTACTTGTAATGGTCATTTGTCTCTCACTGCTGATTCAGAAGTTGTGTGGAAATAATAGTTGGAAACTTGAGAAGAAATTGGTTATTACTGGTTTGTTGTCTAGGAAAGCGGATAAAATGGGGCAACTGTGAGATAAAACCCTAAAAAATGTGTTAAGAAAAAGAAACCGAACAAACCTGTTTTGACACATACTTAGTTTAAAATGTGGTCAATGAATGTATTTTGAAATAGCAGTTATCATTTTAAAAAAAAAATGAGAAAGTTAAAAGACTTCGTTTTGAATTTAAGGCAGTCGTGCTTTGGTTTCATCACACACAACAAAGAGTGTTGTTTAAGGTTTGAGGTGGCCAATTAAAGCATTTGAGACAATCATTTTTGCCTCTAGCCACCTGGAAAGGACAACCCTGAAGTGACTATATAACATCATTATAATGACTTTTTACAGACATAAATGAACAGTGTTGGTGCAACATAAAAAAATGTAACATCAGTAATCTAAGCATATGATTTTCATCAGAATTTGAGATCTCTTGCCATTGCTTTTCTTTTGACAGAGGTTTTATTTATAAGAGTAATATATCAATATAAATGTATATATATTATTTATGTTTTAGGCACTTAAAAAGGCTTTATTCAAACCAGCTGCTTTCTTCAAAGGAATTTTATTGCCACTTTGTGAGGTAGGTGAAAAAAGGTTCCAAATTTTGATACAATAATGATAATCATTGTGCAAAGTGACCCAAAATCGAAAAGTGAATAAATGCTTTTAAGTCCAGTAAGGCTAAGAATTGCACAAAACTATGATTTTCAATGTAACCCTGAGTCTGACTGTATGATTTAAAATATTTTGCATATTTTTACATTTTGAGTGCGACAGTTGAGCTATGTAAGAATTTGAAATTTTATAGGTTATATGGTGTATATTGACCAATGAAAAGACAGATTCAAGACAGAATTAAAAAGTTTTACAGCCTTGAGTCCAAGTCATTATATGGAGAAAAAAAAAGATGCATTAAATAAAACTTTTGCACTTTAAAACAATTTAGACCTTTGTGTTTAAATATTGTGTTTGCTTATGATATTATCATCCCTACCTTTATTTCCTTCATTTTTCTAGGCAGGGAATTGTACATTAAGGGAAGCTGTGATAATTTCAAGTATTCTAATGAAGAACTCTATCCCGATGTTACACTCGGCGGCGGCCATGTTGAAAATTGCGGAGATGGACTACAATGGCGCTAACAGTATATTTATCAGAGCACTGTGCGATAAGAAGTACGCATTGCCATACAGAGTCGTTGATGCTTTGGTCTTCCACTTTGTAAGGTGAGGGTATAGAAGAAGAAAAAATATTAAATTTTATACGATAAGATTTTCCTTTAGAGCTTTTGATTTTGAAAAAACAACTGAATTTTGTTTACATTGCATCTCCAGTTAAAAAAAATTAAATCAGAAATACGAAAAAAATATTGATATTGTTAAAATATTCATAATTTTGGTGCAACTCTTGAGTAAGAGAAATTTTTGCATATTATAAGTGACTTCACATATTCAAGTTGAAGAACTTAAATGCTCTGTAACTGTTGTGACAAAGACTGCAGGAGTGTATAAATAGGGCAGGGCATTTTCTTCCTATACATAAGGGCCAATGTAAGGTGCCTTACCCAATCTCAAATACATTGGTTGTTGTTGTTTTTTTTTCCAAATTTTTTTTTTTCCAAGTATTCATAACATATCTAAAAAAAAATCAAATTGTTTTAAATTGTAACTGTTTTGACTTGTTCCGTAAAGAAGTAAAAAAGGGTAACATTGTCATCCTAGTACATTAATCTTAAAAGTCATGTTAAAGGTATTTTTATTTTAACTTTTTAAATTTTTTTCAAATTTATGAAAATGCCGTAAAAATCATTTCCATTATTTCCCAAAATAGCTTAAAAAATCCCTGAATGATTTGTTTTTCTTTATATGGAAGCGTAATACATATAATTCCTATATAAACATATAATTCCTCGCATCAGAAGTCCAAATAGTGATTTTATTTAGCGATAAAATCACCGTTGAAGATATATTATTTCTTAACTAAAGAATTTATAAATTAATTATTCCAGGTTCACAACAGACAAGAGAGAGCTGCCTGTATTATGGCATCAAAGTATGTTAACATTTGTACAAAGATACAAAGAAGACATCTCTAGTGAGCAGAAAGAGGCAATGATGGAACTTTTACGTGTACATTCTCACGAACTTATCACCACTGAGGTGAGAAGAGAATTGGCGCACTCGAAGTGTCGGGATTTAGAAGTGGGGGACGGGGGAGGGACAAGAATGTATGTGGGGGACTGATTGACAATTTTTTATCTTGACTGTTTGAAAAATAGGGAGAGCTGTTGTGATCACCTTGGCATAGGTCTGGTGTAACACTTTGGTTAAGTTTCTGCTTGCAAGTTGGTACATGTGTCTTGAAAACTATTGAAGGGAATAGGTTGAAACTATTTGAAAAATAGGGAGAGCTATTGTACTCACCTAGGTGTCGGTGTCACAGGTTGGTTGAAGCAGCATGCCTCCAGATTCATGCTTATTTTCATGAACAATTTTGAAAAAGTATTTGAATGTGTAATATTGTGAAGTTATCAAAAGAAAGCAATTTACACATTATCAATGGCACTTACAAACCACGTAAATTACCAAAAAGTGGTCAAAATATGCATAAATAGCCTTTACTGCATTAGTAACGCAGTAGAAATAAAGTTGTAAATACTGAAAAATCAGTCATTAATCGCACATAGTATGTAAAATATAACTTGAATCTTGAAACTTTTTACTTTTCCTTACATCTTAGTACATTTTTCTCAAGTTTGATTTTATTGAAATATTTGACTCATCAGGAGGCATGTAGCTTTAAGTTTCTGCTTGCAAGTTGGTATCTCGGAAACTACTGAAGCGAATTGGTTGAAACTTAAGACATAATAGGAGGTCACATGTGAAGTCTCATAATTCTCACATGGATTATGACAGAATTATGGCCCTTTAAGTTTTTTGAACTCTACATTACCCAGAATCTTATTTTTACTGTCAAACACTGAGAATAGTCGAGTATGCTGTTCGACCACCAGCTCTTTTTTACCTTTGTTTTATATGTATTATGAAACATTATGCTGTTGTTGAATGTCTGATTTTAAAAATGAATAAATGATATTGTTAAAAGTTTCTTAAAGTTTTTCATTATTTTGCTGATTTATTTTGCTGAATTTGGATATGTCGGCCATATACAGGCATTTGTCACGTAATAAACATAGATTTTGGCAGGAAAGGAATTATGGCAAAAATGTTAACTTATTTTGTCTTTCCCCTGACTCACTATCTACTCTTGGATAAGCGTAATGTCACTTAGCTAAATTTAAAAAAAAACACTTTTTATTACTTATTTAAAACTCTCGGCTTAGTACTGGTGCCACATAAACAAACATGGTTGAGACTCTATTAGGGCTAGAACATGGCATTTCATTGGACGATCGGGATGATTATATTATCTTACATACACAACTGTTGTCAATTTATGGATTGATTTTCATTTTGCCTAAAACAAAGGACGTTTGCTGTATGATTTATATATTCGTTCTAAATATGTCTGACAGGTAATATGGCCGGCCATATATAAACGGTTGTTTGCAATATAGCCCTCGCCTTGCTGCATGAGTTATGTTAAATAATCATTTTTATTATATTATCTATAAATAGCTTTGAAATGCCTTTCCCTGATTGGCTAACAAGCAACTTTTTGTGAAAAATAACAGGTCAATATCAGAGTATATTCACTGTTTTTTTTCCTAAAAATAGATTTTCAGAGTATATTCACCGGTTTTTCTTCTAAAAATAGATTTTTTGGAATTCCCTGAAAGACACAAGGCTATGACGTGATGTCACGCCAAGTTTGTTGTTATATATTATTCTGATAAAAAAATGGATGACTCTTAAATAAGAGTCAAATTAGTCCATATTTGTATAATATACGGTCATATAACCTGTCAAAATATTTATAAACTAATAATATAAAAGTTATTTACACGCTTAAAGCATCACCAGTTACTATTGACACACGTTTTCACCTCAATTATATCACTGAGTTTGTCTTGATTAACTGTTTCCTGTTACTTTGTCGAAGAATTGTTAGAGAACTATGTGCATTCATCAAATGCTCCATATATATAATATATGTACTTTTTCAAACTATTGTAAAATGCGGCCCTATATAGCCTTAGCTAGGTTCACTGCATGAAAAATGACATCGAGTCACTTCTCCCAAATCACTGTTTTTAAATTTCGTTGTAGTTAGGAAAGGAAGTTATCTGGCAAATGGATCAAAGCAAATAATTTGTTTATAATAATTGTTCTGTTAGACCAGAACACTGGACTTGTATTTCCTTGGAAGCCATATTAAAAGAGGCCTTACATTATTAGTTAAAAAGTTGTTTTTTTTGAAAGGTTTTATGGCCATATTTGAAAGGTTATATGGCCCTATATAACCCCATCTGCTAGGCAAGGGTTAATGTTGCAAATAACCGCTTATATACGGCCATATAGCCTGAAAAGAACCTATATAACAAAATTATAACGCTGCAAACTTCCTTTATTAGAAAAATGAATTGAAATTCATAAATATCCAATGTAAACAACTTTACAAACATGTAGTTTTTTTTATAAAAAAAAACTATTATAAACAGAACTCCGTGCATGTTCTGATTTGCATAGATTGTTTACTTAACTAGCAAAAACAGTTATTCTAATAGATATCTTTTGAATAATACTTAATAAACTAGATCACAGAAATTACATTTCTTCCAGTTAAGGTCTATATATACTGTTTCAGCCATGTTCAGATTGTACCCTGTTCCAGATATGCTGAAAATTAAGGTTTTAAAAGCAAAGAAAACTTGAATGAGAGTAAGTTCCTTGTACTTAAAGTTACACGTCCAATCTTTGCACTACATGTATTTGTTGCGTTTTTTTTCTCTCCAAATAAATGTATTTGAGAATATTTAAAATAATATTTTACATAGTAAAAAGGTTATCTTAAATATCCATTTTCCCTTATGATTCTCTGGTCAAATGACAATGTAATGACTGATGCAGGAAGATTGTAGGATAAACTCAGTTTGAAAGGTATCAGCGGACATCTGAGAAGGAAGCTTATTACCCCACAGCTTCCTCGTGTTCATACGTTGTTGAAAGGCATGTTCTGCCATATATATTATATAACCATTCCACATATATCATATAACATATATAGTGACAGGATGAGCTTTTGTGATCACTTTTCGTCCAGCGTCCGTCCGTCCGTCGTCCGTCCGTAAACTTTTACTTTAAATGACATCTCCTCATAAACCACTAACCCAATTTCATCCAACCTTCACAGGAATGTTCCTTTGGTGGTCACCTTTTAAAAAAATTGTTCAAAGAATTTAATTCCATGCAGAACTCTGGTTGCCATGGCAACCAAAAGAAAAACTTTAAATATCTTCTTGTAAAAAAACATAAGAGCTAGAGCTTAGATATTTGGCATGAACCATCTTCTAGTGAGTGTTTACCAAGTTTGTTCAAATAAAAGCCCTGGGGTCAAAATTGGCCCCGCCCCGGGGGGGGGGGGTCATTGATTTTCCCTACATGCATATAGTATAAACTTAAAAAATCTTCTTTTAAAGAACCCAAAGAGCTAGAGCTAAGATATTTAGCATGAAACATGTTCTAATGGGTGTCTACCAAGTTTGTTCAAATAAAAGCCCTGGGGTCAAAATTAGCCCCGCCCTGGGGGGTCATTGATTTTCCCTATATGCATATAGTAAAAACTTAATTTTTTTTTAAAGAACACAAAGAGCTATGGCTAAGATATTGAGCATCAATCATGTTCTAATAGGTGTCTACCAAGTTTGTTCAAATAAAAGCCCTGGGGTCAAAATTGGCCCCGCCCCAGGGGGTCATTGATTTTCCCAATATGCATATAGTAAAAACTTAAAAAATCTTCTTTTAAAGAACCAAAAGAGTAAGAGCTAAGATATTTAGCATGAAACATGTTCTAATAGGTGTCTACCAAGTTTATTCAAATAAAAGCCCTGGGGTCAAAATTTGCCCTGCCCCCGGGGGGGTCATTGATTTTCCCTATATGCATATAGTAAAAACTTACAAAATCTTCTTTTAAAGAACTCAAATAGCTATGGCTAAGATATTTAGCATCAAACATGTTCTAATAGGTGTCTACCAAGTTTGTTCAAATAAAAGCCCTGGGGTCAAAATTGGCACAGCCCCGGGGGTCATTGATTTTCTTTATATGTGTATAGCAAAAACTTAAAATCTTCTTTGAAAAAAACCCAAATAGCTAGAGTTTAGATATTAAGCATGAAACATCTTCTAGTAAGTGTCTACAAAGTTTGTTCAAATAAAAGCCCTCGGGTCAAAACTGGCCCGGCCCCAGGGGTGTCATTATTTTTAACTATATGCATATAGTAAAAACTTAAAAAATCTTCTTTTAAAAAGCCCAATGAGCCAGAGCTTAGATGTTTAGCATGAAACATCTTCTTATGGGTGTCTACCAAGTTTGTGCAGATAAAAGCCCTTGGGTTAAATTGGCCCTGCAATGTTTGGGGGGGGGGGGGGTTGGGGGGCCTATATACAGGTGAGCTACCTCAGGGCCATCATGGCCCTCTTGTTTATACAAAAAGGCTTTCTTTGTTTTTTTCACGTTCACAGTATTTTATCATAATGTAAAATCAAACGCAGAGTCGTTCGTATACTGTATATAATAACAGATGACTGAAAAAGAGTAAGGTGTACTACATGTATTTTGTTGCCGTATTCGCTCGTTTACAACAAAAGAAACAATATGCAATATAAGCGATTTATTTTCACTATTATCACCGTTAGGATGTGCAGTTATTACATAATCTTTTTTTACGAGCATTTTTTCCCTAATTGAATATAGAAGAATCCGAAAGTATGTGTAATCACAGTGACAGTTGACGACATGTAACGTAATCATTAAAAATTCGACGCCCAGAAAATAAGTACGGCAAATAATCAGGCAAAATTAAGCTTAATAGCTTTATTTATTTTTGTTGTGTTAGAATCGAAATAATATATCCGAAGCAGCGATTTTATCACATAATAAAATCACTGTTTGCTGTTCGGATGCGCAGCATTATATCGGGATATATTATTCCTCGCAACCGAACTCCAAAAAGTAACTTTATTTAGGGATAAAATCACTGTTGGGGATATATTATTTCTTAGATATAAACCAAATTTCAATTTATGAAACAGACAACACTAGAAATTTTGCTGGCAACAATACCCATATTTTACCCAGTGAGCTAACCATCACGATACATGTGACTATGAGATATTGAGACTCGCCTACATGGTCATTGCATGGAACGTTATCAAATCGTCAAAGTATTAACCCTTTACCTCATATATACTCGAAACAACGCACTTTCGACCCCCATCCTCCCTATTTTAGGCCTGAAATAGTGAAACAATGTCCTATTTGGGCCCCAAGGACACGTTTTCGTTTGAGAAATGTAGCTAAAAAAGTGAGCACTTTTTCGGCGCCGCCTCAATCCAAAAGATACATCAGGGGGTTGCTAGAAGGGGGGTGTGCCCCATTTGTTTGTGGGGTTTGAGGGGGGGGCGGACGCCCTCATCGCCAAGAAAATTTTCGACTTGTGAGAGGCTTAAAAAAGATCCCAGGTCGATCATAAGGTAACGTGTAATCAACGCTGAAAAGCCTTTGACTCTATCTCAAACCCTTAAGAAGTTGCTGCACTTTAAAATAAATTTTGATGGAAAAATTGAGGCAAAATATTGATTTTTGGCAATTTCGAGATGTCCCCTCGGTTCCATGGTAACAGCAAAATTAAGACTGAGCATGTCGTTACAAAGGCAATGGTCCAGTCAACAGTTGTACCAAGTTTGATTAGTATTGAAGCATTTTTCATAGTTTCATAGCAGTTTCAACTTGTAACAGGAGACTTTTCAGTGAAAACGGCCATTTTTCACAATATGCTCATGAGGGAAAGGGTTAATTTATTTGGGTCTAGAATAACAAAATCCCGTTTTAAGATAAAGCGTCTACTTACAAAA